CTGTCCATCTGTCTCTATGCCTTCCTGAGGGTGAGGGTCACTATGCAACCTGCCCCCAGCCCTGATGGCACTCTCCTGCCCCCCAGCTCTTGGGGGATGCTGCCTGCCTATAGCCTCTCTGACCAGTGCCCAACTTTCCCCAGGGGCCTTGTGCAGGACTCAGGATGGGCCATCAAATGAGGGTCATGAGAGCTATCTCCCTGTCCTGTGGGCCTACTGTGAGGCCCAGCCAGAGGGAGTTCTGGAAAGGGGAAGACTCAAACCCCTTCCAGGGCCAGATTAGAGGCAGAGGCGAAAAGGGCTCGGGTCCCCAGTGCAGCGACCTGTCCATCTATCCTTATTCTGGGGTGCTGATGACCCCTTTCATTCCTGCTATGCCCTCTGCTGGGCATCACTGAGCATCCTGGTCCTGTGGCCAATGCTGGTCCACCTTGATGGTTGCAGGAAGTGGCTGGTGAGCCACTGTACATGCTCTTCCGCGCTATCCAGTACCAGGTGGACAAGGGCCCTGTGGATGCTGTGACAGGCAAGGCGAAACGGACCCTGAATGACAGCCACCTGTTGCGGGAGGATGTGGAATTCCGGCCCTTGACACTGATGGTGCTTGTGGGCCCTGGGGCTGGCGCGGCAGTAGGGAGCAGCGAGATGCAGCGTTTGCCAGCCCGGGTGCTTGACACAGACACCATCACCCAAGTCAAGGAGAAGGTGTTGGACCAAGTCTACAAAGGCACCCCCTTTTCCCAGAGGCCCTCAGTGCATGCCCTAGACCTTGGTGAGAGAGACAGCCCCACCTCCCCCATCCCTACTGCCTCCACCACATGTAGCCACTCAGCTCTGCCTTACTACAGATGGGAAACATGTTGTGGCTGATGGGCTTCCCTGGGTCTCCCCAGAGTGGCGCTCAGGCCTGGCTGGTCACCTAACCCTGTCAGACGAGGACTTGACCTCAGTGACTCAGAACCACTGGAAGAGACTCAATACTCTTCAGCACTACAAGGTGCTGGGTGGGCAGGGGCAGGGCAAGTTGGTTGGGAGTAGGGGATAGGTCCCTGCCTTAGGAATCAGATGGCAGTAAAGGGACCAAACTCTGCTTCCCTGTTCCCCACCAGGTTCCAGATGGAGCAACAGTGGGGCTCATCCCTCAGCTGCACAATGGTGGCGCTGTTTCCCAGAGCCTGGCTCAGAATTGCCCCTCAGGAGAAGGTGAGTTCCTCAGGCCCAGACACACCTATCTGCCCCAGAAGCACCAGGGGACTGGAGTCCACACTAGGCTAGGTTCACAGAGCCCAAAGCTGGGCAGGAAGGAGTCCTGGTCATGTCAGCTCCCTTGCCTGGGTTGCCTGCTCCACCTGCTCAGCAGGCAAGCCAAAGCTCGAGGTTGAGCCAAGGCCTGGAGGTTCTAGAGCCATGAGGTGTCAGGCTGAGCAGGGAGCACGGGGCACCTCCCAGGCCACTGTGCAGGATGGGGGAAGGGGCATGGGACTGAGGCCAGGTTCCCATGCCCTTAGACATTCCCATGCTGGAGGATGGTGACGATGGCGGGGTGCGCCTCTGGCACCTAGTGAAGGCCACCGAGGAGCCAGAAGGGGCCAAGGCACGGCGTAGCAGCCTCCGGGAACGGGAACGGGAACGGGCCCGGGCCAAGGCCATCCCAGAAATCTACCTCACCCGCCTGCTGTCCATGAAGGTTAGTGTAGCCAGGGGAGCCAGGCCATAGGGGAGGCTTGGGAGCAGGAATGGTCCTAGAAAGGCAGAAGGGCCCTCTTGTCCTGCTTACAGGGTACACTGCAGAAGTTTGTGGATGACACCTTCCAAGCCATTCTCAGCGTGAACCGGCCTGTGCCCATTGCTGTCAAGTACCTGTTTGACTTCCTGGATGAGCTGGCAGAAAAGCATGGCATTGAGGACCCAGAGACCCTGCACATCTGGAAGACAAATAGGTGCCTTTCCTGTCGACCCCCTACTTATTGTTACTGATCCATTGAATCCCAGAGGAACAAGGACATTCCCAGAACAGGACAGCAGGTTCAAGACAGGAACCCAGCCAGATTTTAAACAACCCCTCACCCCCCAGCATGGACTCACAGGAAGGTCACCTGGGCCATGAGGACAGCTCCTAGAGAAGAGCAAGGCTGGGGTCCCTGGTTGCCTGCATGGATGGCTCCAGTGACATCTGCATGGAAAGGGTGGGCTGTAGTGCATGGAGGAGGAGGCCACAGTGACCCAGTCTCATCCCCACACCTGGCCTGTGTCTCCAGCCTCCTGCTGCGGTTCTGGGTGAATGCCTTGAAGAACCCACAACTGCTCTTTGACGTGCGGGTGTCGGACAACGTGGATGCCATCCTGGCCGTCATTGCACAGACTTTCATCGACTCCTGTACCCTCTCGGAGCATAAAGTGGGCCGGGTGAGGTTGCAGTAGCCAGCGCCAGCTGGCAGGGACTGCAGAGGAAAACCCTGTGGGGGAAGCCACGGTGCCCTGTGCAGAGCCTGAGCCGGGTGGAATGGAGCAGTGAGCCCTGTCCAGAGGCAGGGGTGCTGTTGGGTCCCCAAGCCTGCTCACTCCTAGCCCTTCCTCTGTCTTGAAAAGGATTCCCCAGTGAACAAACTGCTCTATGCCCGGGAGATCCCTCGCTATAAGCAGATGGTGGAGAAGTAAGTGTCGAAGCCGTTACGGCTGGGGGGAGGCACTGGAAGGTGCCCGTCCCTAACTCTGTGCGCTTCTCCAGATACTATGCAGACATTCGCCAGAGCCCTCCGGTGAGCTACCAGGAGATGAACTCTGCTCTGGCTGAGCTTTCTGGGGTGAGGCATGGCCCAGGGGCACTGCCCTCCATATCTTGGGGAATTCATTGGCAGAGCAAGGGGAGAGCCTTGGGGCTTCAGACCAGGGCTGAGGCCTTACTGCCCACTACATGCTGTCCCCAGAACTACACCTCTGTTTCCCACTGTCTCGAGGCTCTACAGGAACTCTACAACCACATCCACAGGTATTATGACCAGGTGAGGCCCAGAACACTATGGAGGGGAGGAGGCAGGTACCTGGAATGAAGTGAAGCCAAGACAGAGGCTCATAGAATGTCCCTGGGGGTGGCTTAATCCAGGCAGAGGGAAGGAAGGGGTGCCAGCCTTGGCTGGAAGGGCCCAGGTTGAGTCATGGGCTTGACTTTCCTCTGGATTTCCCGGGAGGCCCCAGCAGTGTTTCCTGAACTCCTAGGCAGCCCTCGGGTCAATGATCACAGGGGTGGGGCCTCAGGTGGATACCCTCCTCTGCCCTGGCAGATCATCAGTGCCCTGGAGGAGGACCCGGTGGGCCAGAAGATGCAACTAGCCTGCCGCCTGCAGCAGGTTGCTGCCCTGGTGGAAAATAAAGTGACTGACCTGTGAGCTTAGAGAACACATCACCACAGTACCTTATGGTCCCTGAACCGAGCCATTGACTGAGGAGGGCCTGCAGAACTTAGGTGGTGTTGAGTGCCCACTGCCTCACCACAGGGCTTATTTCTAATTTATAACAATCCCTACCCCTTCTCCAACTGTATTTATTTGCTTACTGGAGAATCTGGAAATAAAACAGAAATACGTATTTAAAAAAAAAAAGTCCAATCCCCAGCAGTGGCTGCAAGAGTTAACTTCATGCTCCTTGGGCTGGTACCCCCATGGCCCTATAGCTGTGAGTGCTACCCAAGGGGAAAGAAGTTATTAGGCCTTCCAGGAGGGCTCTGCCTTCCCCATTCCCTTCCTAACCTCCCCAGGGCCCACAAGAAAGCTGCCCCCTCCATCTATGCCTGTCTTGCCCATATCAGTTCTTTCCTGACAGGACACTGGACCAAGTGTCTCTCATCTCAGAATAAGCACTGTCACTGCCCAGCCCCCTCCACTTCATTTGCGGACAGCCCCAGCAGTCCCAAACTTGCCTCCTATCTCCAGTCTAGCCCTTCTATTCTTTTCTAGAAGCATCCAGTGCATTTTCTAAAAGCAAAAGTGCTTGTCAGCCTCACTGGAACCCTACACTGGCACCCACATATTCCAGGCAGGGCCCCTCAGCCACCAAAGCCTCTTATCCCCCCAGCTCCTAGCCATGCTAAAGCATGGCCAGCATGTGGAGGTCTCCAGCACATTCTGTCTGCAGGCCTCAGCCATAGATGTGCTCTGTACTGCCCTGGATACTTCTGGGGACCAAATTCCTCTTGGTCTCTCAGGATGCAGCCTTAAGGCCACAGACTCCTTCTGTTGCCTTCCAGCCCCTGGGCAGTGGCTGTGGGCTGTTTGTTCCCCAAGGTAGACAGGTCAGTGCTGTCCCACAGTGGGCACCTGACAAATGTTGGCAGAAACAGGAAAGCCAGGTAGCCAGCCCTGGAGCTGGAAGGGAGGTCATGCAGTCCACAGTGGTACAATTCTGGAGGAGGAATGAGTCACTCTCAGGTCCCGCCCCTGACTCCCTTGGTCAGGGAGACCCCAGAGACACAACACTCAGGGGAGATCTGGGCTCCCACTGTATTAGGGGCCAATAAAAACCTGGAAACAGGACTAGGAGTGGGCAGAGAATGGGTTCCCAGTAGGATTGGGAGAGGTCACCTCCAGGACTCCCAGAATGCTCCAAAAGTTCCAAAAGCACTGCTGGTGGCCTGCAGTATGAAGGGGTGGAGCTCAGCCTGAGGACCTGGTCACCGTGTCAACTACATCCTTTCATGGGGGCCCCCAGTAGCCAGCCCTGGAGTGCAGGCACCTTGGCCTGGGCTCTGGATTGCTTTGTCTTCATGTAAAGGCCCCCCTCAGCTGGTCCTGGGGCATGGGGACTCAGCTTAGGGACTGAGTCTCTATGTGTACCCAGCACAGCGGCCCCCTTTTCCCCTGGGGCGTGGGTGAAGCAGGGGGCCTCAGGCCTGGGGACCGGGCTCTCCAGGCCACCGTCAGCCGGGCCGCCCCCTCCCTGCACCACATACCTTGCCCACAGCTGAGCAGCTGGGAGGCTATTTATAAAGGCGAGTGAGATCAGCAGCCGAGGTTATAAATGCACGGGCCAGAGCCAGGCCCCACAGGAGCAGCCGCCCAGGGCACCGGAGCCGTGGGCCACAAGGCCGGGATGAGCGCCAGCGCGGGCGGCAGTGGCGGCGGAGGCGACAGTGGCGGCAGCAGCAGCAGGTATGGCTTAGCCCGGCCGTCCAGGGTCCCTGGCTCCTCAAGCACTCACTGCCCGCCCATTCCACCCGCAGCTCACAAGCCTCCTGTGGGCCCGAGTCCTCAGGCTCTGAACTAGCCCCAGCTACACCAGCACCTCCAATGCTTCAGGGACTCCTGGGCTCTGATGACGAGGAACAGGAAGACCCCAAGGACTATTGCAAGGGTGAGGCCGATCTTGGGTACATGTGGCCAGATTGCCAATGCAGGAGCTCAGGTCAACCCGGAAGGAAAAGGGTGCCTGAAGGCTGGGCCCACGTGTGCTGGGTGGCTGGTAGGGATGGCTGTCCTGGGGATCAGGAAGGGAGACACCCCCACGATGATCTACTGGCTCTCTTTGGCAGGTGGCTACTACCCAGTGAAGATTGGTGACCTGTTCAATGGGCGGTACCACGTGGTGCGAAAACTGGGCTGGGGCCACTTCTCTACCGTCTGGCTCTGCTGGGATATCCAGTGAGTGGGCCCTCCGTCCCCAGGACCCGGTGCTTGCTGGGATCCTGTTTTGGGCTTGGTTGAGGCCACCACTATGGCCGGCAGCTGACAAGGGTCGTGGTATTGCAGGCGCAAGCGCTTCGTAGCCCTGAAAGTAGTGAAGAGTGCTGGGCACTACACTGAGACAGCTGTGGATGAGATCAAGCTCCTGAAATGTGTGAGGCACCTCCCTACCGCTCTGGCTTCCTGGGAACTGCCTTGGGCCTGGCAATGTGGGTGCAAGGCCTGCTGGGGCTCTGCTGAGTGGGACAGGACAACAAGAGGCACAGGCTCCAGCTGGCTCTGCAGTAGGAGAACCTTGAAGATCACACGGGGTGGAGGGGTTGTCTTTTCTTCCTTCCAGTGGGACCCAGCTAGGGCATAAAGTGGGGCCAGACACTATCCCTGTACTTCTAACCAGGGACTGCCAAGGGGAGCAGCTGGTGAGGGGTGGGGTTGAAGGCATCTATGGCCCCTTGGCTTTTGTTCCAGGTCCGGGACAGTGACCCCAGTGACCCCAAAAGAGAAACCATCGTTCAGCTCATTGATGACTTCAGGATCTCAGGGGTGAATGGAGTCCGTATCCTTTGTAGGATGAGCAGAGCAGCAAAGGGCCAGCTTCTGCCTTCCTAACTACCAGGGCCTCAGTTGCTGATCTGCACCAAAGGGCTTTATTTCTCCCAGGAACACTACAAAATAGCCCCACCCCTTTGGGCATTTGTGTTGCTATGGGAGGGCACGAGAGCGGGTAACCAGCTTGCTGATGATCTGTGAATGTTGAATTACCCCCAAACAGCTGGGGTTACCCAAAAAGGCCTAACTCTGCATAGGAGTAGGGTTAGCCTGAGGATTGCATATCTGCTCCTCCAGTACCATATCTAGGATGACCATAAAACATACCATCCCACTGGCACACTTCTAATGGTGACAGGGACACTATAAATAATAACACCAAGACAGGGGTGGCCACCAAGACTGCTCATGGCAAGCTCTGCCTCCTCCACCTCTGTGGAACCTGAGCTTTGTTGCTCTCCCCTCTCAGCTGAGGGTGGGCAAGGCGTGTGCCCCAGCTGTGTGCTCGCTGGCCACCCTTCACTCCAGTACCCAGATGTGTGCATGGTGCTGGAGGTCCTGGGCCACCAGCTCCTCAAATGGATCATCAAGTCCAACTACCAGGGTCTGCCTGTGCCCTGTGTGAAGAGCATTGTGAGGCAGGTGAGTGCTATCCCCCTAGCTGGCTGGCCTAGCCTGGGAGGGGACGCTAGAGTTCAGATGTGGCTCTTCCCAGGTGCTGCATGGCTTAGACTACCTCCACACCAAATGTAAGATCATCCACACGGACATCAAGCCTGAAAACATCCTGCTGTGTGTGGGTGATGCCTACATCAGGCGCCTGGCAGCAGAGGCCACAGAGTGGCAGCAGTCAGGGGCCCCACCCCCATCCCGCTCCACAGGTATCACAAGCATGTGCAGGGCTGGGTCCAGGCCTCTAGGCACTCAGTCCCTGACTGAATCTCCACTTATTTTTCTCCTTCCACCCCACCTGCTTCCCCAGTCAGCACTGCCCCCCAGGAGGTCTTGGTAAGTTGGGGCACTCCTCTCTACCTGTGCCCTCTCCCCTCCATGTCAGGGGAGGCCAACTCCTCAGAGCCAGCCAAAAACACTGGGTGGCCCAGGTACCAGTGATACACAGGGTGGGTCATGTACTCCAAACTTTCTTTTGTGGCCACTGGGCCCAACACTGCCTCAGTGGAAAGATGCTGCATCTTCCTCTGTTGGCTACTTCAGGCCACCCTTGCTCGGCCTGGAAGGGGAGAGAGAATAGTCTAGGGGCAGGCCCATGATGTCCACTCCAACCTACAGAGCTTTAGGGAATAAGTGCAGGGACAGGAGGGGAGGTAAGGAGATGGGTGAGGGGTGAGCAGAGGGTAGTGGCACCATATTCTGCCATCCAGGGGACTCCTGGGTTCTGGGCTGGACAGGGAAGCTTCCACTGTCAGACTGGCTGGGGGATGGGAACCCTGGGGATGACCCTGACTCTGGCGGCAGACTGGTAAGCTGTCCAAAAATAAGAGGAAGAAGATGAGGCGCAAGCGGAAACAGCAGAAGCGGCTGCTGGAGGAGCGGCTGCGAGACCTGCAGAGGCTGGAGGCCATGGAGGCTGCAGCCCAGGCTGAGGGTGAGTGGCCTGGAGAGGGCACTGGATTGCCAAGTGTGTACACAGGCCATGGGCTGTCTGCTCATGAGGACCTCTGCCCCATCTCCCCAGATTCTGGATCGAGACTAGAGGGGGGCAGCGGCTCTACCTCTTCCTCAGGCTGCCATCCTGGGGGCACCAGGGCTGGCCCCTCCCCAGCCTCCATCTCCCCTGCCCCTGGGGGTGACCGCAGTCTCAGCCCCAGCTCGCAGACCTCTGGCTTCTCAGGCTCCCTGTTCTCGCCGGCCTCCTGCTCCATCCTTTCAGGCTCGTCCAATCAGCGTGAAACAGGGGGACTCTTGTCACCCAGCAGTAAGTGTGGGGAACAGGAGGCAGTGGGCAGGCAGGGACAGGAGGAGCTGAGCCATTCAATTTCTCTCTCCCTTTTCATTCCCAGCACCATTTGGTGCCTCAAACCTCCTGGTGAACCCCCTGGAGCCCCAAAATGCAGACAAGATCAAGATCAAGATTGCAGATCTGGGCAATGCCTGCTGGGTGGTATGAGCACCTTGGGGAGGCAGGCTGTTCTTGGGGAGCCCTAACTGGGCCTGTGGGGCACAGGGCCCATTGGTATAGCCATGGGCTCACATAGCAGTACCCTCAAACAGAGCTGAGTGCTGCTTCCTGCTGCTGGCCCCAACCAGCAGGGTCCTGCGCAGTCAGCAGTACTGGGCCCATGGCAAGAGGTCACTGGGAAGGGATCCAGCCTCAGCCCACCAGGAGGGGATGAAAATATAGATGTGTGTGTGTGTGTACATACATATATATATATTCCGGCATACCTGGGGACCCTAAGGATCAGAGTAGGCTCCACAGAATTCCTGGGTGCCTGAACCAAAGGCAGGACTGGGGGTTATGGGACAGGCCATCCTGGGCCCCAGCTCCTGTCCCCAGGGATCCCCTTGCCTCCAGCACAAGCACTTCACTGAGGACATCCAAACTCGGCAGTACCGGGCTGTGGAGGTACTGATCGGTGCTGAGTATGGGCCCCCAGCAGACATCTGGAGCACAGCATGCATGGTACGCTGACTGGGCTGCCCTCACGCCCAGGGCCAGTCTACCTGCCAGCAGCTTCACCTTCCCCATTCATTCCAGGCCTTCGAGCTGGCCACTGGTGACTACCTGTTTGAGCCTCATTCAGGAGAAGACTACAGTCGTGATGAGGGTAGGGGAGGCAGGCTGTGGGCTCAGCCTTGGGGCCTTGGGGCCTCCTGCCCACCTGCCTACTAGCCAACTTCCTCTCTGCCCACAGACCACATTGCTCATATCGTGGAGCTTCTGGGTGACATCCCCCCAGCCTTTGCTCTGTCAGGCCGTTACTCTCGAGAGTTCTTCAACCGAAGAGGTGGGGACCAGTGGGCTCAGGCCACCTGGCTGGGGAAAGGGTGGGACATGGACCCTGGGTTCTTACATAGAAGGAACACTGGTTCCCAGAAAGCCAGAGACTTTCCTAGCAGAGTCCAAGTGCCAGCTGGCCTGGGGATGCAGCCTAATGCTGCCTGGCCCCCCAGGAGAGCTGCGACACATCCACAATCTCAAGCACTGGGGTCTGTATGAGGTGCTCATGGAGAAGTATGAATGGCCCCTGGAACAGGCAACACAGTTCAGCGCCTTCCTGCTGCCCATGATGGAGTACATCCCTGAAAAGCGGGCCAGTGCCGCCGACTGCCTCCAGCATCCCTGGCTCAACCCCTAGGTCCTACTGTAGCTGTAGGCAGCAGGGGGTTGGGCCTGGCTCTGCCCCTAGCTCTCAGTGCCTTAAGGGAAAGTGGGGTGACTCTCACCACCCTGTAGGAGCTACCCTCTCCTACCCTGCTGAATGCCAGCTTTTTTACCCACCCATGGCAGGAGAGACAAATGCTGGGGCCAGGCCCATGTCTCAGAACTTCTCTGCCCACAATTCTCCTGGAAGATCCTCTGGTGGGAAAGTATGTGTTTCTTTCTTAATAAAGCGTGAACAGAAATACCAGTATCCTGGAGTAAGGGAGTCACTTGGCTGAGTTCTGGGGCAGAAGTGGGTTTATTTTGGGGTCTGCCTACCAAGCTGACTGGGGGTGCTGGAGTGAGAAGGCAGATCTAGGAATGGGCTGACAGCCCCAGGGAGAGCCTAGGCCTCCACAGCCCGGCCGTTGATGATGCGGATACGGCGGATGATGTCCTGGATGGCTTGGGAGGTAGTGCCCTGGCCCCCAATGTCTGGGGTGTGCATCTGTAGAAGATGGGAAGTTTAGGTACATCAGGCATGTCAACACCTGCCCCCATCTCAGGGTGAATTAGGGTTGCCCACTGTCTCCTGTAGCTTGCAGGGCCTGGAAATGCCACCAGGAGGGTAGGGGTACCAGCTAAGGCCCAGAAGCCTACCTGGTACCACCCTCCCCTTGGGAAACACAGTCAATGCTGGTCACTGACTTCAGCCTCTCCGGCTGGTCACAGCAGCTCAACATGGGTTAGAGGAAGGAAGGCCACAGCATGGGGCCAGGAAGGGACAAGAGGAGCCTTACATTTTCGTTGTCCATAGATGCTAAGACAGCTTTGCGGATGGAGGTGGCATAAGAATGAAGCCTAGGAGAGGGAAGAGCCAGACTTTGGTTGTCATGGCCTAGAGGGCTGGCCAGAAGGCTCATGGCTGGGTACTGGGACATTACTTACTTGAGGTGGTCTAGCATCATGCAACTTGCTAGCAGTGTGGCTGTGGGGTTGGCAATATTCTTATTGGCAATACTCTTGCCTGTGTTCCTTGTGGCCTGGAAAAGGAAGGACAAAGTAGAGTGGATGGAAAACATCAAGGGCATAGGGACAGATGATTACACTCATGTGACGTGCCTAGCAGAGGCATAACTCTAGATAGAAAGCAAATGAAGGGATGCCAGGGGCTGGGGAGAGGAAATGAGGAGAGACTGCTCATGGATGAAGTGTTTTCTTTTGGGGTGCTGGAAATATTTGGGATTTAAATAGTGCTCATGTTTACACACCATCATGAGGGGTGTGAATTAACAATCCAACAAGGCTGCTGTAAGAGAAAGATGGTGGCATCCAGGCACTTACCGTCTCAAATACAGCATACACATGGCCATAGTTGGCCCCAGCCACCAGGCCTGGGCCTCCAACCAGCCCTGCGCAGACGTTGTTAACAATGTTGCCGTAGAGATTGGGCATCACCATAACGTCGAACTGCTGGGGCCGGGACACTAGCTGTGGAGCAAGGAGAGGGCTAAGTGTGAGAAGCTCAGGGTGCCCAGGGCAGGAAGTTGTGGAGTTAGGTGGGTCCCTACCTGCATGGTGGTGTTGTCCACAATCATGTTCTCAAAGGTGATCTGGGGGTAGCGGGCAGCCACCTCCCTGCAGCACTGGAGGAAGAGTCCATCACCCAGTTTCCTAGAGGGAGATGAGGAGGGACAAAGGACACCAGCTTGATCCATCATCACAGACAGAGGAACAGGGCATGCAGAGGGCCTGAAGGTTAAATTCTAACCTACCCCTCCATTTGCAAAATGTGCATAATTTTGTCCCACTAAGTGTGTTCTGTAGTGAAGCCAAAGACTTTAGGGACAGTAGGATACACTCTTGGGTGTGAACCCTTGGAGGGTAGACATTGTCCTAGATCCCGAGTCCCTGAAAACAGGCCACTCCAACTGCCTGAAGGATGACTAAAGAGTGGGTAGGAGGACCAGGTTACATACATGATGTTGGCCTTGTGTACAGCTGTCACTTTCTTGCGCCCACTCTCATGGGCTAGCTTGAAGGCATATTCGGCAATGCGTAGGGACTTGGCCTTGGTGATAATCTTCAGGCTCTCCACCACTCCTGCCACGCTCTGAGAAGGGGCCAGGAGATTAGTGAACAGCACAATGGGGGGTGCTATGGGACATAGCCCTATTGCTGAGTACTTCTGGTTTCTCCCTTAGGTACAACCCTTGTCCTTTGGGGACCACCTCTTCCTGGTTCCTTAAGGTCTCTCTTCAACACTGACCCTGGCTGAGCATATCCCCAGATTTCCATAATCCAACAGGGTCATCTGTTTTTTGTTTTGTTTTTAAATTTTTTTTTAGCTGTAGTTGGACACAATACCCTTTATTTTATCTATCTATCTATCTATCTATCTATCTATCTATCTATCTATCTATCTATTTTTATGTGGTGCTGAGGATTGAACCCAGTGCTCACACATGCTAGGCAAGTGCTCTACCACTGAGCTACAGCCCCAGCCACAGTCACTTGGTTTTGCGCACCTCATGCTCCAGGCTGCTGTACTCGCCCTCTGTATTTTCCCGCACAATGAGAATGTCTATGTCCTTGTGACGGGTCACCACACCTGGCAGGCTCTTACAGTGAATGACGTTAGCGTAGAGGTCCAGGCTTGTGCTACAAGGGGGACAGAGAAAGAGGCAGGCTAGGCCTGAATGGCAGCTGGCTGGAGGTATGACTCTGCTGGCACAGCCGACCCTGGGCTTCGTTGAGCCACCACCCCATGTACTTGGCTCTCACCGAAGGATGTTGTTTCGGGATTTGTGAGATGGTGGCAGGTTATGGTTTGTTTCGATGTTACCTACAGAACGAAAATAAGACAGGCAAGTTGGAGAGGGGCTCCTGGCCCCAAGTCCCTTTGCTTGGCCCAGGGGATGTGAACTGAAGGCTGCTCCAACTGGAGGAAAAGATGGCTTTCAGCATCAGAATACTTCACAGAACACTAGGATGTAACTTCCAATGAGGGTAGATGCGTGTGTGGTTTTTTACCAATGGATTCTGAAGACCCAGAAAAGCATCTGGCTCATAGCAGGCATTCAGTAAATATTTACTAAATGAATGAATAAATCCAATTGGCAGCTGGCAAGGAGACCCTACCACTCCCTGCCCAGGATCTGCCCTGATAGAAAGTGACCATTCCTGCTTATCAGCAGGCTGGCTGGCCAAGCCAAAACCATCAAAGTGACTTTAAATGGGATTACTCCTAGGCTCAGGGGCAGTCAGGGTCTGCCTGGAAAACGCCAGGCTCTGTCACATGGCCCAGGCACTGAGAATGGAAGCAGGGGCCCAGTGAGTCCCAGAAGCCAGCAGCCACTAAGAGAAGGTAGACAGAGGTTAACCAGCAGAAAAGCCTTTTTGACAGCCCAACAGGAATACCTGATTCTCTGAGCTGCCCCTACCCAGACTTCCTTCACCCAGAGTGCCTAGGGCACTCTGTAGCTGCCATGTATACTCTTCAACTTGACTACCAGCACCTACGGCTCCACCTGGTTCATCACTGCTCACAATCTCCTTACAGAGCAGATGATGAGCTGAAGAACGCAGAGGACCTGAGCCCAACCAAGACAAACTCAGGAGGGGCTACCAGAATCCTCATCAGAGTCACAGCATCAGCAGGCATGCAGAAGTTTCTATTCAGACTCTAAGCACAAGAGTCCTCTCTAGCCAGAAAAATCCCAAAATTGGAGCCATGGGTCCCCACAAGAGTCACCTTGGGCTGGGCATGGTGGTGCAGGCCTGTAATCCCAGTGACTCGAGAGGCTGAGGCAGGAGGATCACAAATTTGAGGCCAGCCTCAGCAAATTAGCAAGGCCTGGTCTCAAAATAAAAAATAAAAGGGTTGGGGATGTGGCTTAGTGGTTAAGTGCCTCTGGGTTCAATCCCTGGTACACCCCCCACCCCAAAAAAAGGTTTGGACATAAAAGAACTCAGTGCAGAACCCTACCTGGCCCTTGAGCTTACCCTTCAGGGCCACACGGTTCCGACGGATGGCCATGATGGCATTGCGAATGTCCTCCTCATCAGCATTGGAGCTTACATGTACTTCTTCAAAGTCCACTGGCACACATGCATGCCTGGGGCAGAGCTGGGTCAGGGTGGCTGGCTCAGGGCCTCCCATACCTCTTCCAGGAAACATGCCCAGGCTCTGGCTGAGAGGGGACTAGGCCCACCCACGCCAAATGATAAGGACATGCTTGAGCTCTACAATGCAGTGAGCAGGACTGCCACCCTCCCATATCAAGCCAGCCTGGTGGGAATGGAAGCTTTCCTGTCACCACCTTGCTAAATGCTCAGGAAAAGCCCTGGCTAGTGGCTTCTGGGCTCACTGCCCTTACTGGGACAAAGTTCTCAGAGCCCTCTGTTGGAGCTGGGGCACGACCTTCCCTAGGGGTCAAGGCAAGAAAAAGTGGCCTGAGGTCTCCATACCTGAACACAGACTTAACATGCAACATGAGCTCTGGCCCAATGCCGTCTCCTGGAATCATAGTCACTGTGTGTCGTCCACCATACTTAGCTGATGGAGGCTGGAAAGATGGAGAGGGTAAAGACCGGCCTTTGGATATTCCCACATGCTCACTGGCTCAGCAACCCAGGGGCTCAAGCTAGTTCCTTTCTTCCCACCAGCAATGATTCCATACACTGGCCAACCTCGTGGTTCTAGCTTGGTGTATCCCCATCCCAAACAGGACTGATCATCTGAGTCCCTGGTCAGCAGCAGCCCCCAGGCCCACCCAAAGCAACTAAAACACCCCCCCAAATCTAACTCAGAGGAAAAGAAGAATACTCACAATTGTTTGTTGCTAGAAGAAAGACAGAAAGGAAGAAGACATGAATCAGCCAAGGTTGGAAGAACAAGGCTGTGACGGAGAAACCGGGATCTTTTCTCTGGGGACAATGTCTAGCACAACTTAGGGAAGGGTGAGGTATGAGTAACCTCTGGAGACTGTGCCTCAGAGGGAAGGACACAAAGGCAGGGAGCAAAGAGGCACGGGCACTTGTGCATGCATATGTGTATACACACACTGCATGTGCACACAACTGCACACACAAACTTGTGCACCCCCCAACATATGGACAACTATACTCACACTTAGGCACACACGCCCCTGGGGGGTAGGTACTTACTGAGGAGACACTCCTCCGAGGGACCTCATGGGTACCCAGAACCTGCCAAAGAGAACCCAAATCAAAGTGTTGGTTGTTCAGCCCTGAGAGTCAAGTTGGCCA